TTACTATTTATCAATATCGTAAGTCACTGTATATCTGCCATTAACATTGTCTTGGCATATACAATAAAATTGTATAAATGTGGTTATTAATAATTGCTATAATTATATCTCATCTCTATGTATGTAAATCATCTCATGAGAGATTAAGATGGCGTTATATATATGATTTCTTATGTAATCGCTTCTCATTTCTACACGATAAAAAAAAATAATCCTCTCACGAGAAGTTTTAAGTAATTTTTATAAAATCATTTCCCACCCAGATAGTACAAATGTCCAAAATCGGGACATGAGCCGTCTTTTAGACGTCTTGAAGTTGTGTCTAAGATGTCGTGATATAAGGTATTTTTAAGATGTTTTAAAGACATCCAAAAGACGTCTTATGTCCCGATTTTGGACATTGTGCTGTCTGGGCAATTTACATACATATCGTTGTAAATTTTTATAATACATGAATTTGCGTGTTAGTTAATATTATGGTTCTCATATTATTTTCTATTCGAATCGAAATTTAAAATTTGTTCTAAGTCTCGCAAATACTGATTTATATCTATATAATATCTATAATAATGTTCCTAATCAACTACAAATCTAATTTTCAATCAGGCAATGCCTTTTTTAATTTTGTTTAACTTATTATTAACTTGAATTCACGTTTAAATTTTTATCAGAGGGAGTACATATGAATACTTAACAATTATCTTACAATTATGTTACAATTATCTTAAAATCATTTTTACATTTATAACTTTTTCCTTCTCATTTCTTTTAGATCTATAAATTCTTGAAATCGAAATCTTCAACGTCAATAAAAATTAATGTACAAATTATGAAAAAATAATAATATCATTATCTTATTTACTCTTTAATCTTTGAATCTCAACATGGAAAAAAAACAGCTCTGAGCAAGCATTTGTGATATCAACCTGTATAATGTTACCTTTCGAAATTCTCTATTAATTTTTTATATTAATGTAAAAGCAATTTTCGTTTTGAGTATAATAGGGGGAGGGGGAACACATATTATGTATTTGTATTTATATATTTTCAGAACGGAGGATAATTTCCGAAATAATACAACATATCATAAAACTAAGAGGAGAAACTTTTTCAATTCTTGTGGGATAAAGATAAATAAAGAAATTTAAAATTGTATTTTAAGCTATGGCTGATTTGAAATTACATTAAAAAAAAGAAATTTGAAGAAAATAAAAAAATAGCTTGATTTACAAAAAATTGAAAATTTTATTTATCATGTTTATAATTTTACTTTTCGTAACTTTTTCTCGTATTGATACTTAAAAGAAAAAGTAAGATAACAAACATCAAAATAAATTGCAGGAAGTACAAAAGTGTATTTTATTGATTTCCAATTTAAAAACACATTACCTTTGGGAATAAGAGATTTCAAATCGCAGAACTCTAGTTTACGGTAGACCTTGCCAAGCTCACGATTAACACTTTTAACATGAACGTTCTAAAATTGTTCGTAGAAATAATTAAATCGATTCTTCTATATCCGCTTTACATGGAAACAGTCAGTTTCCAGGAAACTGACGACTATTGTGGCATCGTTTTTATCACAGTTAACTATGTAGAGTAATCGTCGAAGCTTTTAAGATATCAAGGAATGGTGTGAGACTTAAGGGGCATTTATGAACCTCAATAAAAGACGAAAAAAATTTAGTTCACAAGTTACATATAAATAATGAAAAATATGTTGTCACTTTCTTATTACAAATTTCACGAGTGCATTAAAAATTCCATCGATCAATTGTGCGCCGATGTCAAGCACTTTACGACGCGTCCTCCCGAAATCGAGCTGTTAATAAAAAATAAGAAAAATAGAAAAAAGAACAACAAGCATGTACACACGCGTGCGTATATATGTGTACGTGTGCGTGCGTGTGTGGTGCGTGCGCGCACGCCTGTTTATATGTATTTGTGTATACAAAGAAGCTGAAATTCCCCAATCAATCCTCGAAGAGTTTCCCATCGTCGACCATAGTTTATCTTCAGCGAATAAGCTGTCGCTTTTTCGCGTATTACTCGTATGATATTGCGAAAGTGGAGTCGAGATTATAAAGAAATATCGAATTGCGGCAATAAGAAATACCACTACCGCTGTCGCTTTTACCGCCGTGGAGACCGTCGCGGAGGACATTCGTGCAGGTGTGCGTCTGAAGATTAGCCGCCTGCTCAGTCGTTCGTTCGTTGCAGCAGCCACTGCAACCGTCACCGCCACCGCTTCCGAGGGTGGTCTGACGTAACGTGGCATTACGTCAGAATACTCTATAGCTCTAAAAGGGTGCGCGCGCGCGAGATGGCTATGTGCGCGTGGGAGCAGCGCGCGACACGAGGGGAGAGGCTCGCGGCGGTAGGTAGTAGCGGGCGAGAGATACCGCGGTGAAGGGTGATGGTGGTGGTGGTACGTCAATAGGAGAATCTCTCGGTCTCTGCAAGTGGAGTGGTGGGTGTGTGGTGGGGCGCCAACTCGTAAAAGCTTGCGGCCAAGGGATGCGAAGGGGTATAAAGTTGTCGTGCAACCCTCTTTCCGCGCACCCGCGCCTCCATCACCCTATGATGTATATCCTTTCGGAATACGTGACTTCCTGTTGCCAATGATCTTCGTGATCTTCATCGATTTCTATGGCTGCGTGATTAGGTGGATGGATGGGAACTGAAGGAGAGAGAGTTTGTAGTCTCGCAAATGCGAAATCATCACAATTAAAGCTTATTTTTTGAGCTGCTGTTCAGGTCTTCTTTCTCTCGCACTCTTCCTTTCTTTTTCTCTACTTCAGGCTAGTGAAGTCCGTTGCTACCATAAATATCTGCCGAGCTTAATAATATTTAAAAGAATCAAATAGACGTGACACTCGATCGTAAGTGTTTACCTAATACGCTAATGTTTGTGTGGAGCGACGAGTCAGCCGCATTAAAAGCGAAAATATTATTAACCGCTCGGCGCGTTCAAAAGATTCCCTTTTCGGATTGCGGTTTATTCGGTTCATTTGGACGTTCGACGGACTCGACGGAGTAGCTTCAAATGTATGGCAGATAACAGGATTCATGACACGGAAATAAATGGCTAATAATCGAGCTAGTCCAGTATGATAGTCCGGAGCCCAGACCAGCTGGTGTCTTGTAACTGCCGTAGCGTCATTGTCGCGGGTAACCTGTGCAATTTCGTAGCGCCTTGCAATTTTGCATGCTATTACGTGACGCGCACCATCCTGCCGTAACCGTCTCTCTCTCTCTCTCTCTCTCTCTCTCTCTCTCTATTTCTTTCAGCATGTATGATTTGCCGGCGTAACACTTGCTATGGGATAGAGACAAATCCTGTCCATTCACTTATTACCCTGTCAGACACGTCACTTTAGGCACCAGCATTTAGAAACTAAATGTGGTCTGCGGCTACCACTGAGCTCATATGTGCCGCCGTAGGGGAGTTACAATGCGATAGAGGTGGTGTGTGAGAGGAGCAGAAGAACGGGGAAAGATAACGATATAATTTTTCGTAGAGGTGGTAATCAGTGACGTACGACAAATGTGGGCGTTATCGTTAATCGACCGGTAAAAGTAGGAGGACATGCGCTGCTCGACGCTCGCAAGAATTGCCGCGGGTAACGCGAGTTTGTTTGCGAATTTGTGCGGCGCTATGAGTTGTGTCGCGGCGGTTTTATAAATGGAACTTTCGACTCAATACCCATCGAGGCGTTTCCTGTATAATGATAAAAGTGATTTAAGCAAGACATTCTTCAATCCATTTAGAATTTGTGTATTTTGTCTTGGGAGAATTGAAAATATAATACTAATTTAATATTAATCAATCAATGTTATTTTGCATTAGTGAGCTCGTAGAAATAAAATCGCGATCTCGCGTTTTCTCATTAAAGCGATATTGCTTTCGTTCAGAATACGTTACTGCGTCTTGTTTGGCAAGGATTGGTTCGCTGTAATATCAGTAGTGTCTCAAGCGGCAGAAGTATCCCATCAACTTACTGTATCGGTGGATATCGAATGAGATTTTGGCGAATTCGTAGTGCATCGTTTGCTCGCACAAGGTGTCATAAAATTCGTCAACGTAAACGGCCGCACGTCGTAAGAATTAAATAGACAATCCTTACGTTTTTTTATGATACACTGAACAAATTGGCAATTTTTGCGACACGCAATCATGCGGTAATTCTGCCACTGTGATTTGCCGAATGAAGAATTAGAAGAGCGTCTCGATCTTAAATCTTAATAAGGAAACTTGATAGGGAATTGTAGATGTTTCTGATGCCAGCGTTGTTCCTGTAGCGCTGAGAATGTACATTGAAATGACAGTTGTAGCGATTAATATTACAGTTATTATATATTTATATATATATTAACCACGTTCTTCTCATCTTCCTAATTCCCTCGTTAATTTCCTTATAATTCCTTTCTTTCTCTTTTTTATTATTAAAAACATTTCTCAATCAAAGTGCTCTTTAGAATTTTTTTATATAATTTCCGATGTAGAATAAAATAAATCCTATTAAGCTCTATATTTTAGATTAATACCAGCATAGAGTCAACCATGTTCTTTTCGTCTCTTTAATTTCTTCATTATCTTTTATTCATTATCTTCAATATCTTTTATTTCTTCCTCTTTTCCATTGAGAACGATTTCTATTCAAAAAATGTTCTTTATTACTTGTTTAATTATTCCTGATAGAGTGAATTAAATAAGCCGGATTAAACGATTAAGTTAATAACAAAAAGAGTACAGAGATATTACAAAAAAGATTCACATTTCGATTATTTTGTTTCTCGAAATGGAGATAACACAAAACGATATAATCATAGAAAAATAGCTTAGTCCTTTTTACCCCTGCTGGAACCGCCACTGTCCGGCAGGTACCGCGTCAGGGGTGAGGTACTCCCAAGTGGGGATGATACCCCGGCAGCCGAGGTAGGAGAACATCGCGGTCGACTGGGCGCAAGAGGGAGGTAGCGCGAGAGGCAGAGTGTAACTCCACGGTCGTGCCGCCACCCGTGCATCGTACTAAAATGTGACTCGGGGTAGTATAGCGGGGTAGAACCGTACGTGTATAGAAATAGTCGTGCGCGCTGAGAGTATATTATTCGTTAGTTTTAGGCAAATAAATAAAATAGCGAGTAAAGTTGCTCGTAGCGTGCAACGGGGTCTTTGCGAGACGATAGAGAGAAAGAGAGAGAGAGAGAGAGAGAGGAAAAAGAATACACTCATATACCATAGCCGCAGGAAGGGAGAAAGGTCTACCTACGACGGACAGATATTACGGGGGCGGCTGGGTGAAATCAGACGCATTCGATCGTCGGTAGTGATCGCGTGGAAACACGAATGCGATCCCGCAGTTTCGGGAACCGCCGTTGTGAACAAATACATATCATTTTATCCTAGTTGCAGAAAAAGGTAGTAAAAAGGAGAAAATAAGAGAGGAAGTGAGGAGGGAAGGAGGGAGGGAGCGAGAGAGAGAGAGAGAGAGAGAGAGAGAGAGAGAGAGAGAGAGAGNTGAGGATGTTTGAAAGGAGGAGATTTGTAAGGTGAACGAAAGAGCTAAAAAGGTCATCGAGAAGAACAGCGAGTGCATGAACGAGAATATTTGAAAGGAAGTGAAGACAGCAGGAAAGAAAGGTGAATTTGACTGAGAAAAAGAGGGAGATAAATACATATATATGTATGTATGTATGTATGTATGTATATATATACATATATATGTGTGTGTGTGTGTGTGTGTGTGTGTGTGTGTGTGTGTGTGTGTGTGTGTGTGTGTGTGTGTACACATGCGCAACACAGAACGTGTGAGTGTATTTGGCTTGAGGATTATCATTGTCGTCGTCGTCGCCTTCGTTGTCGTGAACGCGCCTTCTCTTGGCCCAGAAGAATAGTGCGGGATCGTTCGAGGGAGTTCCGGAAGTGATTCCGGGGAATTTCCGACGGTAGGAGGAAATTCCCCGCCCGAATGATCGCTCGCAACTACGTGTCGTCTGTCGTGTGTATCTTTTCTCGTGAACTGTGATTCCTAGTGCCGTGCGGAGAGGTGGGACAGTGATTTGCAACGACGGTATTCATACAGGCAGGGTAAGTGTAGAAAACGCGATGTAATTCGATAACTGAACGTTTTTACTCGCGACACCCGCAGAAGTTAGTTAATGGGCGGTTAGATCGGTTAAATCGAAGCCTGTCGATTACACCGGAAGCCTAATGAATGAATCGTCTTTAATCTTCCTATAAGCTTGTCGCCCAATGTTCCTCATGTTAAAACTTTGTGATTCCCGTAAGCACTTTTAGTGAACATTTCACGGAATTTTTATAAGATATGTATGTGCATATATGCAAATTATGCTCTCGTATCAATTTTCTAGTTCGACGGCGTATTATAACCTGCTCTTCAAGTGGTATTTTGTGAAAATTATATCATTAGTCTTCAATTTTGCAGTCTGTTCATCTCAAAAATATTATATTATGAAATATTAATTTTGGACTTATAGGACGCGTTTTACAGAGTTCTTGCAAGATATATGCGTGTATATGTGCAAATTATTCTTGCATATCTTTCTTTATGTTGACGATATAATTATTATTTGTTTTTCAAGTGCGATCTCGTAATAAATAAAATTTATATTGTGGGGAATTAGTCCTAAATTTTACATCGTGTATTTTTCAGGAAAATTATGTTACCCAGAATTCATGTCTTTTATTGTTTATTTAGTTTCGCGTTACGTTTTCATGAATTTTATCATATTTTATTTGTATTACCTTAAGCTTTTAATTTTTAAACATTGATGTATTATAATAGTATATATTATTATATTATTTTATTAACTGAATTGATGTATTTTATGTTGCCACTAGGTCGTTATACCGCTATATTATTATAATATATTATTCAATAATCGCACTTAATAATTACAGTGAATGTGATGTCTTTTGAACACTGTTACATTTTATCATTCAGCATTGAGTGCGAGGTCATATTTAAACGTTAAGTGTTTCACACTTTACATATAAATTACGCTGTGCAAAATAAAATTTCAACTTGATCATTCGCAAAAACGATATCCGATTGTTTTCGTGGATGTGAGACTTGAAATGATATGAAACGTAGGAAGGAACAGGGGAAATCATGACACGGCACATACTTCCGTAAGCGATCGATCAAACAAATTCGTAGTAAAGCGAAGAAATTGTTTTATTAAGTCTCGTATTGTCCGTGATGACGATCGCGGACGTAATAAAAATATTGACGAATATATTTTATAATACGCATGTACGATAAGGAGATAGATTTTTAGAAAACTACGATTATTTTGCCCGTATGGTGTGTTTTGGAGAAACTAATGGATTTAATGCTGAAAAACATACAAAAATATATTGCGGAGAATTAAATTGCTAATACGAGAGAAATGTTGTAGACAGATTTTCTGTCTCTTCCTTTTCTACTTCTTGTTTTATTTTAAACGATAGATTTTTTCAACATACAGCATATATCAGTCATATGTTTCAAATGCTATATCAAGACATTAATAGTTGTTGAGTTATAAGCGTTTGAAAATAAAAATCTCTTCACGAAGCAAGTTTTCGGGCGATGTTATTAAATAACAAGACTCTGGCGTTCATTTAAATTTACAAATGGACTTTATTTTCTAGGTATATTAAGTCTCAGTTTTAATTATTGTGGTATGTGCGATTCAACGAATGATATCGGGAGAATATAGTAAATGCATCGGTATGTTTTGAAATTATCTCCAACAGAAAATCTTTATCCATTGCAAGGGAACCCCGTAAAGAAGTTCAAATACATATTTCCCGTTTCTTTTCACAATATTGACTTATTATCGTGCGAAATATGTCGGCAATGCGCGTGAACACTTAGCGGAATGTGCCTCTTATCTCTCTTATTCACGCATCAGAATAAATATTATTCCATCGGCTCTTAGAGGGTGTTGAGATTTTCGTATTGGTAGAAACGTTCTTGAAAATATTGATCGCGTATCGCGTAAAACGAAATTTTATTCCTCTATTTCTCTCTCTTTCCTTTCTTGTATATCAGATTACTGATTATTTATTATTATACTCATATTCACTTTTCATATTCTTAGATTTCATTCTGTATTCTTTAAAGGGATGCCAAAATCGAACGTGATAAGTACCAAAAACCTTGAGGAGATTTTTAAAAAATCATGTTACGTAAATATTAACATTATCATTATTATGTTATTCCTTTCATATTACTTATACATAAATATATAGATTTTATGTAAATATAAATACAAATGTAAATGTGACGAATGTAAGCTACTCTGTTTAATATATATTATATCTAACGGAAAATCTAGTCAAGATATATAAGCATTTTTTATAATTTTTGTCACATATTAAATAATGCTCCAATTTATTTTTGCATATATCTTCATTACGTAAAAGCATGAATAATTTTGTGCAGTCAGTTTAATAAAAGCTTTGCCGAAAGAAGTCTGTATTTGGTCAGTGAAATTTTTAAGTATCTTATATTTTTCACAAATTTTTTGAGTTATTTTTTTATGTGTTTATACGTGAATCCTATGTTCTTAGAACACCAATCCTATACAGAACAAAGAATTTGCTAGAATCTGACAATGGACGACCGAACATGTTTTAGTGGAAGGAAATAGAATTTTTGATTATAAGAACCGAATTTAGTTTATGAAAATTAGAAATTCTGTTTCATTCAACCAAAATGCGGTTGTGTGGTTGTCTATTATGTCAGATAGATTCAAACAAACTCTTTTTTCCGAGTAGAATGTTAATAAGGCTGTTATATATATATATACCAGGTGTGCGCATAAGTTTTTTCCGGTTTTTGGTAAAAAAAAAACACATAATTTTCAAGGGAAATTAATTTTTTTTAATTCAAAATATTGGCCATCGGCTTCTACACATTTCGTCCATCTTTCAGATAATTTATGAATACCATGCCAGAAAAACTGCTTGTCTTTTGCGGCAAACCATTCGTAGAGCAATTTTCCAACTTCCTCGAAATTGCTGAAGTGCTGCTCTGCGAGCGCGTGCCCCATTGATGCGAAGAGGTGATAGTCAGATGGCGCCAGATCTGGGGAGTACGGCGGGTGCCGAAGGATGTCCCATCCAAGCGATTTCAAGGTGTCTTTCACTGGTTTTGCTATGTGAGACGGCGCATTGTCGTGTAACAAAATCACTTTGCCATGTCTTCTGGCCCATTCCGGTCGTCTTTCGGTTAATGCGTGGTTTAAATTAATCATTTGTTGGCAATAGCGTTGTGTATTAACGGTTTCGCCGGGCTTCAAGAGTTCATAATACA